CAGCCTAGAGCTAAACATCTAGGCCAGAGTGCAAAAGAAAAGCTTTCTTCCCAACTTCTTCAGGAGTATTTTTTCCTTAGGTTGATCATTCTTAGCATCAATCCCAAAATTGTATGCAAGGGTCCCATGCTCTGGAGGTTTTAAATTGAAACTCTTAAGTCATTACTCCTGATGCATTTGTATCGAGTAAGAGAAGGGAAATAGAGTGGAAATTTGGTCACTGAAGGAATGTGATCTGGGAGCAACAGTAGGTCAAAGGTATTCTGAGCTTGAGGATAATTATAATTTCCAGAACACGAAGCCTTTTAAGAGTTTGTATTTGAGTCCTTTGCCAAGGCTCAGCCAGGCTACCTGCTGGCTAACAAAGGGAACCAGATCCTCTGTCCTTACCACTCTCATGAGGGTGATCCCAACAGTGGAAAAGGCACATTCATTTTCTTCCCTTCTTCAGTTTACCATACACCAATAAAAATTCTGCTGGTTCCACCATAGAAAAACCAGAAGACATTATAAATGAATCAGACCCGGAGAAAGGGCTTTCTAAGCCTTAAAAAAGACTGTTTGCATTAGCAACTTTAATTAAAAACTTTTGAAAAAATCCAGCCGAAACTGTAAGGCCAAAGAGATCATGCAATTTCTAAGACCTCAGTTGACATGAACAGTTAATTTGTAAAAGTAAACATATAGAAAACTGTTCTATCACTAGCAATTAAACAAATGCAAAATAAGTTATTTATTGCATATACCATCATAGATAGTTATTTGCTATTAAATTAGCATTCTTCATTATTTGTTAAATTAGCAAAGTCTCTCCCCCACTTCAACCCGATTCTATGACCTGATATGATCATAGGATGGGTTCTCTATAAAAAGGGACAGTCTAAAAAAAAAAAGGGACAGTCTAATTGTTATTAAAGTACAATTCTTTTAGAAAGCAGTTTTTTTAAACACTATTTCAAAGTAATCATACCCTTCCTGACCAACAATTGAACTTCTGATAGTCTCTCCTAAAGTAATAATGTTAATTATGGACAAAAAGTATTGATTATAAGGGGGGCAAATATAAACTCTGCTTTATGTACTCAAATATTATGGAACCATTAAGTAACATGTAATACTGAATTATAATTAGTTCTGGGTATAATTTAAAGATTATTATTAAAGTAAACAAAATGGTAATGTGCTTGTAATTTTATAATTTAAAAAGTTTAAAGAACAAACCTTGGCATTGTGGATATGTGGGAAGGGACTGGAAATTAGGGAGACCAGTTAAGAGGTTAACTTAATATTCCATGTGATAGATGAAGTTCTGCATGGTGGTAATGAGAATGGAACAGAGAAAAAATTATGAAACACGTCAGTAGATTTTTTTTTTAAGGACTTAGTGATTGACCAAAGGTCAAGGGCACCTCAGATGTTTCTATTTAAGTGATTGGACATACAGTAATATTAAAGTGGAAGCAATTTATAGGGGCATCAGTTCTGAATGAGGGAAGAGAGAGTGTAGTTTTAGGATTTGGGTTTTGAGATACCTTAAACATACAAGGTTAAGTTGTAATTATGGGCCCTCTGCTTGATAGTGAAAGTGGAAATTTTGGAGCCATAGGGGCACCTAAACGGGTTAGAAGGAGATCCTGTTTAGTGGAGATTAAACACACACACCCACACACACACGAGAGAGGGTGGGCAAGGAGACTCAGTGACACAAGAGAGGGGCAAAAAATTGCAGTTATTAGAACCCACATCTTTATTACACCAAGACCAACCTCTGGTTAAATTCAAAGCTTTTCAGAATCTGAGTGGTTTACTTGTCATTAATCAATATTTATATAGCATTTAAATTTATATAGCATTTAAATGATGAAGAGTGCAGGATGATTAATTGAATAAAATAATGTTATTGCTGTTTAACTTGTCAATGACTGTAAAGCTTTCTCAGAATATGATATAGTACCAGAAACGTAAAGGGAGTATGTTAAGTGGAGGGGATTTTTTACCAAATGATTTATTATTGAGCTTTAAACACAAAGTTCAGATTAACCTAATTAACCAAATTAACCTAACTTCAGCTTCTGTCATTTTACCCTACCCCCCCTTTCTCATCTGATACTTTTATTCTACTACTTAAACCATTTTCTTTTGGGTGTTACATTTATTCACCGGTGCCCTGTTTTCTGAGGTGTTACACATCACTGAATGCGTGTGCACGTAGCTCAGTGCTTTGCAGACAGTAGGTATTCGAGATTTTGAATTGAACAACTCTGCTCTTAAAAATAGCATCTGTAAGACTTTGGCTATGGGAGGTATCTCATTACTGCCACTGATTTCCCCACTTTCCCTAGTCCTACATTCAGCTTCCACAGACCGAGCAAATTCTACGTAATTACGATGGGGCTTAACAACACAGCAGGTCAAGAACCTTGTTTTAATATCTAAATCATTTAATCATAAATCATTTATCAAATCTGTTTTTGTTTCACTGATGGTTTAAATGGAACTGTTCTTCCAAACGAATAATGAAATTGTTTATTAGTTCCTAGTATTTTAGTGCTTTTATTGATAAATTTAGGAAAATGGGAATATAAATATAGAGCAGAAAGTTCTATCTTGTTTGGAGCTGTGGAGAAACAACAGCGGAGCATATATTAGATTTTTTTTTTTCCTTTTGCCACTCTTAAAAAATTAAAACCTGAAATACTCTCAAAACCTAATCGATTTTCCAAAAAACATATCAGGTATTGCTTAAGGAGAGTTGGCATTAGTGGTTAATGTTGTTAATTTTTTTAAGCATTTAATGTTGTTTCAGTGTGTTTTTTAAGTATTTCACAGTTTTAAAAAGTGGAGGTATTTAATCTTTAAAATTTTTACCTTGTGCAAAATAGCATAACAGGTCAATTGTTTTTCTCAACTATGATATTCCAGGCTATGTTTATCATATGGACTCGGAAGTCCCTACTCTTATAGTTTGTTAGGTAAAAACAAAAGAATGCTACTTTTTCTTTTTACCTTCAGTGGTCCCTGGAGCTGCACTTTGGCTCAGCGTTGCCAGGCACCTGCCATTTGCATCTTCCTCTGTTAATTGTGTGGCAGGTTCATACTGCAGGATCGCATCCAGATCATGGAAGAACTTCATAGTTTTAGAGCTGTCTCCAGAGTTATGGGCATATTTAACTGTTCTGTATTCATATTTGAGATTTTTGTACTTTGCCCGGCACTGTTTCCAATCTCTGTATACTCCTAGTGCTTGCAGCCTTTTAGCAATGTAAATAAATATTCCTTTATTTCTCAGGGTTCCATAAAGTTGTTTTCGTATATTTTTTTCTGCCCAGACACTTAGCAAAGCTTTAACCTCTTCTTCAGTCCAGTGCTTTCCTGCTCCACTCTCCATGTTGAAAGTGACCTGGAAATGATTCACTATTTCTAGCCAAGGTTTTGTTTCCTAGGAAACCAGATGGCTGGTTGTCAATAAGCTCCAAAGAGCTGAAAAGATCTAGTTTAACTGGTTCAAGCTGCCTGAGGGGAGTAACTTGAGAAACTGCCAAATAAGCAGGCTCTGTGATTAAAGACGCCTGGACCTAAATGATTCCTAACGTTTTTTCCATTTCAGCCTTAAGGGGAAATTACCCTTGAGATGAAAGGGAAGGAAAACCATTTTCTAATTTCTTTTCTTACATAATGTACTCTGGCGGCTTACTAAAGGATTGTTGATTTTTTAAAAAAATTATAAAAAAGTGGTTGGCAGAGGCTCTTTCTGCCCTAAGGTTTATGGCTAACGTTAATTTTTTCCCCTCTGGTACGAATCATTTAGTCTTCTAGCACAGGTTAATATTAAAGACCACATCATTTCACTAAAGAAATCCTATGTCACAAATTGTCCAGTCTTACAGGGTGTATAGTATTATGCATGTCTATTTGATGTATTGATAATTTAGTAAAATTTCAATTTTAATTATTTTAGACTTTTACTTCGTAGGCATACTTAATGTTGTAGTTTTTCTTGTTATTAAAATGCCAAAACAACTACAGCATGTAGTTTAGAAAAAGATCTATTTTACCAAATAAGTCAATATATTAGTTATTAAAGTGTACATCCATATATTAGAGATTTACTTTTTATTTCCACCCTGATGTATATTCTTTGGGACAAAAATTTGTTAATAAATATCTGATATTTTTATCATTTGTTCAGAACTATTAAAAATTGTGGAGCATTTAGAACCTTTATTTTATCATTTGATACTCCACAGTAGTACAGATCCTCTTAAGTCTTATATGTTATATGCTACCTCTGGCCTAGCTTTTGGCTTTCTTCTCTCATCTATATCATTACCTAAAAATACTAACACAGGAAATGAAATGCAAAGTACCCAAGCAGCGTAAGATTTTTAGAAGCAGTGTTTACCCTTTTTGTGGTAACTAAAGTGATAGATACTTGTTGGGAAAAAAGTGGAAAGCGCAGCAAAGCAAAGCAAAAACCTCAAAAATAAATGAATTTTGCTCATGATTCTATTACCCACCACTAGGCATTTTACCCGCTAGTTTACTTAGAGATTTCCATTTACATCTACGTACTCAACTTTATTTAGAGGTCATGTAGCACAAAGATCAGAAGCATGAGTTCTGTAGTCAGACTGTATTCTCATCCTGACTGTGCCACCACTCCCTGTGTGACATTGGGCAAGTTACTACTTCACTTCTGTTTCTTTAGTGTCCTTATCTGTAAAATGGGAATTAATAGTCATAGTATCTATTTCAAAGGATTGTTGTGAGAGCCTAGTAAATCAGATCATTCATGTAAATACTTTAGGACAGTGCCTGGCATGTTAGAACTCAGACAATGTCACTTGCTGCTGGCTGGTCACATCATCATGAATGGGAGTAGCACTAGCATGTAATGTGTCGTCAGTTCCTGGATGCTCTTGAGAAAAGTATGCTTCATAGAGAAGCTTACCAATGAGGTAAATTTATATTTAACAGTTGATGCCTTTTTATATTCACAGGGGTCAGGAGAGTGCTGGTATTGTGACCAGCGATGGGAATTCAGTACCAACATTCAAAACACACAAGGTATATTTGAACATAATGAAATGTTGATAATAAAAATAACAATAGCCAGGTGATACCTAGTATGTTGGTGGGGGAAGGAAATTTGAACAGATAATTTGCATATAGAAGTCATACTCTGGAACAGCCGTTTTCCATTTGTCAAATGAAGGTGCATTTCTTTCCGCGTGATGGTTTGCTAGACTGACTCATTGAAGCAGGTCATTTACTTAAACGTGCTTTGAATTTTTAAAATGCAATTGATTTAGTGTATTATATTTGACAAATTTGATTGTTTAGTACATTTGTTCTTCAATGTTTTAATGAAAAGTATCTTATAAAACACACTTCAACATCGTGACTATATTAAATGCCATTGAATTGTTTACCTTAAAATGGTTAGTTTTATGTTATGTGAATTTCACCTCAAATTTTTTTCTAAAGAGATGTCTTATGGTTCTTACAATTAGATTAGTACTTATTTAAGATTAGCATTTGGAGCACAGAGGTATTGAGTGAAGTGAATTGTCTAATTTGGGATTGCCTGAGCAGAAACTTGTAAGTCTTTATTGACCAGGGCCACAAGTCTACTTTTTTTTTTGTCTAAGATGAGCTTTTACTTTGACTTTGCAAGGGAATGGGTCTTGTAAATCATGTCTTTACTCAAGACAATTTGAAGAAATTATATATTTCAAACCTTGGAATTGGACACACAAGATACGCCACTACAGGAAACTGTGAATTAGAAAATTGTCAGCCCTTTGTTGTTGAAACACTTCATGGGAAAATAGCTGTGGCACATAATGGCGAATTGGTAAATGCTGCTCAATTAAGAAAAAAGGTAAGGTTTTTTTTTATGCTTTTTTTCATGATTGGGATAAATGCATGAAATGAATGTATGGGGAACCTTGGTGCAGGATATTTTCTAATTGTTGCCACCTGTTACCTAACTGCAAAGGACAACTGTATTTGAATTACCTGGGCTACTTGTTATCATTGCAGATTCTAAGATATCTCCCCAGACTCTGGGGTGGGAGGGTGGTCATTTTACATTTTAATATGCTTCTAAAGTGATTCTGATGTGCTGCTTTAGAACAGAGATTTGGAAAAGTTAATATATGGTTGTTGTTAGAAACAGAAATTAGGGTTTATGGACTCCTGTCCCTTTTAGCTTTGTCTTTATGTCCAAAGCATAAGAAGAAAATGGAATATAAACTTGAAGATAACAAATACAAGAAAAAGTGATTTAGAAACAGTTAATAGGAAACTGGTTGGGGAAAGGGCAAAGAGAGTTTACTTATGTTCTGTTTTTGTTCATAGCATGTTATTTGGAGCATTCTGTGTTAATTTGTGCTTATACCTTTATTCATCAATTCATCTTCCTTTTTTAAAAATTACTTGGTATGGGGCGCCTGGGTGGCTCAGTTGGTTGAGCGTCTGCCTTCAGGTCAGATCATGATCCTGGAGTCCTGGGATCGAGTCCTGCTTGGTCTCCTTGCTTTAGTGGGGAGCCTGCTTCTCCTTTGGGTGCTTCCTGTGCTTCTGCTTTCTCTCACTCTCTCCAGCACTCTTGTCAAATAAATAAAGTCTTTAAAGTAATAATAATAAAAAATAAAGTTATCTGGTATATTTATATTCCTGATAGCTTAATTATCTATTCTTGCCATTCATTTATGGATACCCAGTTTCTTCCCTCCACTGGATTCTAATAATCTTCATCTGGTCACATTGCAAATAAAACCTCAGGTGGCATTCATTAACAGGATGGTTCTAAACACGCAGTTATCTCCTTAGCATTCTAGAACCAGGCATTTTACATGGGTTAAGTAGTGAGAGAAGTCAAACAATGGTGAATTTTGGTGGGTGGAAAATACCTAGACCCATGATTCCATATCACTCATTGTCCTTTTATTTTTAATTCTAGCTTTAGTTATTTCCCATAGCTTTCTTCTGCCCTCTTCTTAGGCTCTAGTATTATAATGATAATAAAATGTTTTTCTGCCCCCAAATGAAAAAACTTTTTAATTCATACAAAAAAAAATCAATATTGAAGTAAAAATTATTTAAAAAAAAAAAAAGCCCATCGCTTAGAGATAACCATCAAAAGTTCGATTCTGAACAATATCTAGCTCATTCTTTGTAGACATAACCCCTTACCCACATGCCGGATTTCACTTCTACACATTTAGCTGCCTACTGAAAATGTTGTAGAGTATGAGTTTAAACTCAGCCTGTACATGTTGATGGTGATGTTCTAGTCCTGGTCAGTCTTGCTCAGAACCTCGCAATCATCATGAAAGCACTCAACCAATTTTTATTACATCTTCTACATTTAATTTTTCAGTATGGTTAATTCCTTTCTTCTCGTCTGTCAGTGATAATCTGTGAGGGGTGGGTAGCCGCTGGCACTGCAACCAGCAAACCTGGCTTGAGAGGCCCTACTATAGTATGCCACTCTTAAGGGAATGTATCGTATTGGTCAGGATTGTCGAGGGCTGAAAATGTTAGAATCACAATTCCAAATCCTTGTGCCTTCTTTGCTCTCCCCCACCTTTATTGCGGGTCTACGTTCTTTCAAACTCAGTTTTCAAAAGCTATTCTTTATGCCTCCTAGCACACTTTTTTTTTCCTTGCTTAAAAACCTTCAGAAACTTCCTGGGGCACCTGGGTGTATCAGTCGTTAAGCGTCTGCCTTTGGCTCAGGTCATGATCCCAGAGTCCTGGGATCCGGCTCCCTGCTCGGCGAAAAGCCCGCTTCTCCCTCTCCTGTTCCCCCTGCTTGTGTTCCCTCCCTGGCTGTCTCTCTGTCAGTCAATTAATCAATACATACATACATAGATACATACATACATAAATAAAGCTTCAGAGACTTCCCATTGCCTCCAGCAGTGCTTCCACATTACTGTATACATGTCATTAGTAGAATGCAGGATTTTCATAACTGAAATTTCACACGATGCCTGATTTCTTGTATAATTGTGGGCTGTTGGGTGAAGAAGGGTCGGGTGGAGCTCTCCCTCTAATGATTACACTTTTCTCCATTCTAAATAGCTTCTGCGGCATGGTATTGGTTTGTCAACAAGTTCTGATAGCGAAATGATTACCCAGTTACTGGCGTATACACCTCCTCAGGAACAAGATGGCACCCCAGATTGGGTAGCAAGGTAAAACTAGACTAAGCTCATAGCTCTGATAATGAGAGCTCTGTCTTACATGTGTTTCTAACTGGAATTATTCATTCAATTATTTAATTCCAGGATTAAAAACCTAATGAAGGAAGCACCCACAGCATACTCCCTGCTTATAATGCACAGAGATGTTATTTATGCAGTAAGAGATCCTTACGGAAATCGTCCTCTATGCATTGGACGTCTTATGTCTGTATCTGATATAAATGATAAAGGTAATGCACTTCAGAAGAAATAAAATTTCATAGTGCTTTTCCAAGTCATCGTCCTACTGTTGGCACACCCTCAAATCTTTAGGCATAGGAAGTCTAAGAGTGAGAAGGAACTGAGTAAAAAGAAACAAATGATAGTTTTTAAAGTACATTTCCTTGAGTATTTCTGAGGATGAGCCATTTTTAAAGAATTTAATAGACATTCCTGTCTTGTCTTGTCTGAATTGCCTTGGCCCAGCTTTTTCATTTGATTGTGGTATGATTTCAGTGATTTTCTTTTTGACTTGTTAGATGTCTATTTGAGACGTTGAAATCAGTTTTTGAAAGAATTTTGGTATCATTAGTTTTATCCTTGGCTCAAGTTGAATGAAGATCAATTTTTTTCTTTTCAAATTTTTATTTAAGTTCTAGTTAGATTCATGTACTCTTAAAGTTGTAGAAATGGAACAAAAATTTGTAGAAATGGATAGTTTTTAAATTTATCTATTTGGTGTTTAACTGTTCACTTGAAGTAGGTAGCCTCTTGTAAAATTTCTTAAATCCATTAACTAAATTGCCTTGTGATTTACAGAGAAAAAATCTTCAGAAACAGAAGGATGGGTGGTATCTTCAGAATCTTGTAGCTTTTTATCAATTGGTGCAAGGTAAGTTTTGTTTGACTCAGCATATTCACTTTTTCCATATCAATAAAAAATTTTTAAATGAAAAGTTTTCTCTCTGATGTCTGTAAGAAGACATATCTATAAATGCAGTTTCTTTTGTACATTGTATTCAGCAGTTGCTCTGACTTTAATGTTCCTATAATACCTTCTAATTCTGAAATTGCCATCTTGTTTTCACAATACCATGAGACCTATTTTTAGAAAGGAAGACTCAAGAAGCTCCTCAACAAGGAATAGTTACAATCAAAAAATTTAAGCCAGAATAAAATGTTCTCTTTAGCCTCTGTTCTTCCAAAACTCAGTAAAACTTAGGGCTTTTATTTTTCAAAATTCAAAATTAGACTTCAGAGGTAAAAGATACATATTAGATTTACTGCTGGAGGAATATTACTTTTTAATTTTTAAAGCCATCTCTTAAACGGAACCGCTTTTCCTTTATAAGGGCAGGGACTTGGTGTATACTTTACAATAGATGTTATTATCTGTTCTAAGGTCTGGTTTATTTAAAGTCTTCTTTCTTTAACATTGTTTCCCAAGATATTACCGTGAAGTCTTGCCTGGAGAAATCGTGGAAATAACCAAACGTAGTGTCCAAACTCTTGCTATTATACCAAGGTCTGAAGGAAACCCAGTGGCCTTTTGTATCTTTGAATATGTTTATTTTGCGAGACCAGATAGTATATTTGAAGGTAAATAAAATATCTTTAACTTTTTATATAAGTGTCACATTTACCTCATCAAAATGTGGCAGTTCTTGGTTCGAAGGCTTACCTGGCTCTTTGGGGTTACACTGCTCTCTGTTGTGGATATGGGACTGAACCTACAAGTCATATGATGGCTATTCTTCCCTTTCATTTGACTCTTGGGTTTTGTTTTCCTTTTTAGGAGGAAGGATTATGATGTTCAGATGTGTATTAAGGCTAGGTTTTTTTGAATAGTGAATTCCCCAGTTTAAGTATTTCCACTTTAGTTGTTTTATATGTTTTACTTTACTTTTTATACTCCATGTACAGCATTCTAACAAGCTAATTTTCTTAGAATAATAATACCATGTTAAGAAAAAAATAATCTGTTTCCTTTCCCAAACATTCCAGACCAGATGGTTTACACAGTAAGATATCGTTGTGGTCAGCAGCTGGCAATTGAAGCACCTGTGGATGCAGATTTGGTTAGCACTGTTCCGGAATCTGCTACCCCTGCTGCTCTTGGTTATGCAGCAAAGGTATTCTTTGGACATGCAGTGAAATGCTTTTGTAGCTCTGAAATTGGAAATCCTTGTTTATAAAGAGAAACCAATATAGTGTAAGGAAAAAGAAAATGTTGGGTCCTTTATAGAGTTACTTTCCAGCCTTTTCATTCAATGGCCCTGCTTTAGTGGAGTCCACCCAAAGATTTGCAGAATGATCCCCTTCATTTAAAGAGATAACATCCTGCGGCACCTGGGTGGCTCAGTGGGTTAAAGCCTCTACCTTCCGCTCAGGTCATGGTCCCAGGGTCCTGGGATCGAGCCCCACATCGGGCCCTCTGCTCAGCAGGGAGCCTGCTTCCTCCTCTCTCTCTGCCTGCTTCTCTGTGATCTCCGTCTGTCAAATAAATAAATAAAATATTTAAAAAAAAAAAAAGATAACCTCCTGAATATATATAGAATTTAGTGGTAATGTTTACCTATTATTAAAACCCATTTCTTGAAGTAGCCTGGTATATTTGTTTCCTATTTAGTATTGGTGATAATAAAGCCATTTATGTTCATTTTGCTTAAGGTTTTTAACATTTAATTATTTTAAGTAGGCTCCATGCCAAGTGCAGAGCCCAACGCAGGGCTTGAATTCATGACCCTGAGATCAAGACCTGAGCTGAGATCAAGGGCTGATCTTTTAACTGACTGAGCCACCCAGGCACTCCTTTTTTCTAAAACCTTTTTTTTTTTCCTAAAACTTTTTAAAATTTTATTTTATGTAATGTTTTCAGTACCATGCTTAATTTCATTTTCCATAACTAGGTTGATTATATAACTATAGCGATCCTGGGGTGTCCTGCTCAACATTCACTACACTGAAAAGTTTAGGTTATTTGTTTTTAAAAGAAACAATATGCATACATTTTAGATTGGTATTACCCTGAAAGAAGGATAAATCACCACCTGCCTCCTCAGAAAGCATATCCTTTGTATACTGGTTTTAATTAATTTCTTGCTGATAATTTTTAATTGCTATCAATTTTTCTGACAGTGATTCTTTGTCATGTCTTCACATACTTAGTGTTCCCTTCCAAAACAGAGAAATATTTGTTTAAAAGCATTGGAACTCCTGGCAAATGAATTGGTTTTCCCACCAATTGGTGGAAAATATATTGAGTATATTACTTTGAATGATTTTTCTTTTTGCCTTTTTTCCCTATAGTTTAAATAGTGAAGGAAAATTGTAATCTGTTGATGGAGAGTTCAGAATACCAATTTAAAATGTTTGTATACATATCATAATGGAAGCATGACCTAGAGAAAATAGGAACCTACAGTTCTCTATTGGGTCTCATGTCCTTTTATTTCTTATCTATCAGTGTGGGCTTCCATATGTGGAAGTGCTGTGTAAAAACCGGTATGTAGGAAGAACCTTCATTCAGCCAAACATGAGGTTAAGACAACTTGGTGTTGCAAAAAAATTTGGAGTATTGTCGGACAACTTTAAAGGCAAAAGAATTGTTCTTATAGATGACTCAATTGTAAGAGGCAATACCATCTCACCCATAATCAAATTGCTCAAAGAATCTGGCGCAAAAGAGGTAAGTGATATTAAAATTATCCTAAAGTGTCGATAATTAACCATAGGATACTGACATAAAAATTGCAGTTTAGTACAGTGAATGAAAATGGATAGTTCAATAAAATAAATTGTCATCTTTCAAATAAGTTGGTTTAGTAATAACTGTGTGCAACAACTTGGAAAACATATGTAGTCTAAAAACTAAAACCACAAAATAGAATGCTTTTTAAATTTTTAGAGTATTTGTCTTTTTGAAGATGCAGAACAAATCCTATTATAATAAATTTGCCACATTGGGTTATATTTTTAAATCTCAGAGCTTATTCTAACTATCTCAGTAATTCTAATTACAGAAGTGATTTTTAAAAAATAAATTACAATTACAGAAATGTCATTTATAACTAATAGTTGAATGGACTCAAAACTAACGTCTGTTTTAGGAGGAAGTGGCATGGAAAGCAATGGCAGTCTTTCTACAAAGCTTTAAAGATAATTGTGATTATGAGGGACGCCTGGGTGGCGCAGTCAGTTGGGAATCCGACCCTTGGTTTCTACTAGAGTTACGATCTGGGGATCGTGAGATCAAACCCAGCATGAGGCTCTGTGCTCAGTGTAGAGTGCCAGTGGGACTCTTGCCCTCTCCGTTTGCCCTTCCCGCTCACGCACGCTTTCTCTCTAAAAAGTAAATAAGTTTGATTGGTTTTTTTTAAAGGTAATTGTGGTTGTGAGTTTCCAACTTTTTTATGACTGTTATTATGATTATGATTATCTCTTCAGAATTTTTTTTTTTTTTTTTTTAAAGAATGCAAGAGAGCGAGCTTGTGAGCATGTGAGGGAGGTAAGGGGCAGAGGGAGAGAGAGAATCTCAAGCAGGTTCCAATCGAAGCTCCATCTCATGACGCTGAGATCATGACTTAAGCCAAATCAAGAGTCGGACTGCTTACTAACTGGGCCACCTGGGCGCCCCTCGCATGATTATTCTTAAAATGAATGTTAAAATAATGTGTGAAAATGATTTCTTTCCAAGGTGCACATTAGAGTAGCTTCACCACCAATTAGATATCCATGCTTTATGGGAATAAACATACCAACAAAAGAAGAGCTTATTGCCAATAAACCTGAATTTGAACATCTTGCAAAATATCTGGGTAGGTATTAAAATTTCTCTAAGCTTTTTTTCACAGAGAAAATCCAAAACTTCTCAGTTTTTACACTTGTAGGAAAAAACAATGTCCAGTATTTGTTAAAAATACATGTCGGATGACATGCTGAGCAGATACTGAACACTCTTCCGAATAATGAGAGTGCCTGGTGTGTATAGACCCCATGGTAAGTGCTATATTGGAGACCTAGGCCAAGGTGAGATCCAGTGAAAAGGAAGAAAAGCTTTCCAGGTAGAGGGAACGGCAGGCATTTTAGTTAAAGCCTTCCAAAGATCAGATCCCAAGAAAAACAAGAACAATTTTACCACAGATTCTAATGGAATAATTTGTATGTGAGTACAAATCAGAAAGTGAAAAGGTACTGTAGGGTTATCTTTGATAATGAAGTCAGCAGACTTGGAGATCTAGGTTATCTTGGAGAAGACATTTGCTTTTCAAATTAGATGAGATTAACTATTTAAATGTTACACGGATGTTTAGCTGGTGTACCTTGGTACCTCCACACTGCTTGATTATGGCTGGTGTTTCTTTTAACATGGCTGTGCCTTACCAGTTAAAATATTTTGAATATCACCCAGTTGATACCTTATTGTGAACATTTACCCTTTGCCGGGAACATATCTATATTATTATAATAATATCGTGGCTACTCTACAGTTAGGCAATGTTTCCCTAATCTTATAGATTAAAAAATAGATTTAGGAAAAGTAAGTGACCTTGAGCTTAAAATTGAACCCAGATTTTCCTGACTTCAGAGTCTATTTTGTAATCCAGAAAATTACTCCTGAAGCTTTCTGAATGCATTCTAGATTTGAAGCTTCTACTGTTATTTTAAATTATATTCTTCCTTGAATTCCAATTTCATGTTTTAAAAAATAATAAAGGCCCAGAGTTTTATTGCTTACTCCTTCCCTCCTCCTCCCCCTTTTAAAGAAGCTTAAGGAGGAATTTTTATCCTGGCTTGAGTTTTTCTGTTTGTAACTGTTGTCTTTTGAAGCAGATCATCTTTTCCAAAGGAAGCGTAATGACCTTTTCCTTTTTCTCTCTTTCCCCCGTAGGAGCAAACAGTGTTGTATATCTGTCAGTGGGAGGACTGGTTTCATCTGTACAAGAAGGGGTAAAGTTTAAAAAACAGAAAGTGGAAAAGCAGGATATTATGATTCAAGAGAATGGGAATGGTCTGGAATGCTTTGAAAAGAATGGTCATTGTACAGCTTGTCTCACTGGAAAATACCCTGTGGAATTGGAATGGTAGCTGGTAGGGACAGATATGATTTTCTAAGATACAAAGTTGGTCAAGAAGTTTTCGTGGTGGTTAACACCCTGTTCATTTACTGTCGCTCCCTTGACACGATGTAAAATGCCACATGCTTATGTTTACCGTTATAAGTTTTGTGATTTCTGAGAAAAGTACCAAAGTGCTTTCTTTAACAATCCTAGATAAATATTTTGTGTTATCTAGGAATTTGGATGGTCCTTTCAGTTGTTATTTCGTAGTTTAGTACTTTGAGGCTACCACTTCTGAGATCATATACATTTAATTTTGCATCAGCAACAATAATGCAAAGAATAGGTAAATTTCTGTTTTAGTGAGTATTGCCAGGCACTATACCTTCCCGCAGATTCTTAGAGAATTTTGTGGACTGTTTCTTGAAAGTTATTGAAATTCACTTGTGGAATATTTTCGTAATTGAACCTTGCTAATTGTGTAAAGTACTACAACATTGGTGTTTCTTTTGTTTTTTGTTATTTCTTTTAAACGCACAAGCATTGGCTAGCCTTTTTTACCTGGTCAGAGAAGGCGGGGGTAAGTGGCATTTGCTAGGTCCATGCTTTAAAGAGTTAGAAGGAGGTTAGACTGAGGTATGATGCAAACAGGACATGAGTTAAATATAACATTTCATGCAAACCTTGAATCCTTTATATCCCCAAAGTGTCAGGCTCCTGGAGTTCTCAGTGTGGTTTTGACCTTGGCTTCCCTGTCTTACAAATATATGCCTTTTTGTGCCTCGCTTTTCCTGCCTGTGCAACGGGGTACTTATATTGCAAGATTAAAAACTATAGGAATATGAAAAAGTGGTCATGCTTTTGGAGGTTAGAATCATTTCACCCCTCAATTTTAAGATAGTGCATGATTATTAGTTTTTGAAATGTTGGCTGTTATTCTGAAATTGAGATTTCATTCTGATAAAGGGAGACATACAGTTTAGCAGTGCTTTGCCATCTGTCTTTGAGATGTCTTAAAAATGATTCTAAAAACATGTCTGTGGAAGGTGTTTTCCTACATTTGACTATAAAGTATGATTCATACTACTTAGTGCCCTTATAGTATAAGCCCAGCAAGTAACCTAGTACATTTGAAGTAAAAAATAAATTTTTAGATTCTAACAACCTTTTTATCCTTATTAATTATATTCTTTTAATGAAGTGCTTGATCATTTGCAAACATATACACATATATCACACATATATGTATAAATATATATACATAGTGGAAATGAAATGATCAAGTAGAAACATTGTAGGGGCCAATTTTGTTTAAGAATTGAGGTGACAACTATTTTGAAATTAGCATGCCTATCTAATTCTGAGCATCACCTTATCACTTTTTTCTACTTTTATTTTATTGGGATTTAAGAAACACAGTTTTTTAAAAGTGTTTTCTTATAACATCTGAGATTGAAAATTTTAAGTTGACCTGCCCCCCCAACTCCTGTTTATGTGAGATTTTTTAAAACATAAAGGTGTTTGTTTCTGTGTTATTAAGTTACCTTAATTTGATGTATATAGTGTCCAAATCCATTTAGAAATTTAATATTTATTAATAACTGAAATCTTCTGTCTTCATTTGGTATATAGTCTCATATGTTATATTATGTATGGCAGGCCAAGATAAAATCTTGACAGTTCTTTAAGCCCATATGCAGCGGGCAGTAGCAGGTCACATAACCCTGTGGCAGTGACATAAGCAAATTGGCATTTGAATAAAGCCCTGGGACCATTTGAGTGTATAGCCTCTTGTCTTAAATGTATTCCTCGTATCAGCGTGGAGGAGGCAAGACCTGTGGGTCAATTTTGAATTGGCCTCACTTACATTTGATTTTTAAAAACAAGAGACTCAGGGAAAGTACTAAACCAAAATCTCTGATTTGACTTTTGTGTTTTCCATAGTTTTTGTCTCCCATTGTTTTTATTTTGTTTTACTGAGATACTTTTATAAAGAAATAGGGTACTGTGAGAGTTTGGTAATTCTACAAATTTCTTAATGTTTCTCCATCATGACCTTTTATTTCCCAAGTTTCTGAAGTCAGTTAAATTACAGTTTTTTACAAATACTCTCAAATGTTGTTTAACTGCTTAAAATTAAAATAAGCAGAGTATTGAAAATCACAAAGAAGATAAAAAATGTGTTTTCACAGGATCTTTATTGTGAATTAAACTAAGCCTACTTTTTTGTGACTTCATTGTGATGCGTTGGTGACAAATACATGTAATAAGTATGTTTAAATATGTGTGTGTGCTTTTTTTTAATAGTGACCTTTAGTTAGTGCATTATGATGAATAGCGCAGTAGTAGTGACATCCACGCTTCATTCTTGACACTAGCTAGTCAGATCTTATTTCTCTGATCCAGACATGTCAATAAATAGGCCATTGCTTATGAACAGGAAAAATCTCCTGGCTGACTAGAAAGGACACATAACGTTATTTAAAATGTAATGCTAATAAGTAAGCACTATAATATTAGTAAGCTCTGCAGAAAGACTATTGGGAATGGGGAATGTAACAGAAGAGGTGTCACAGATTTCCAAAATGTGTGCGTGCATGTGTTTGTGTGTTGGGGGAATTTTTTTTAAATCAAAGTAGGTAAATCAATAAACTGTGGTACATCCAGGCAATAGAATATTATTCAGTCCTAAAAAGAAAAGAGCTAGCAGACCACAGAAAGACACGGAGGGAACTTAACTGCATATTACCAAGTGAAAGAAGCCGGTCTGTGAAAGCTATATACTGTGCGACTCCCAACTACACGCCATTTTGGAAAAAGCAAAACTGTGGAGACATGAGGGGTTGGTGGGGAGGAACATATGATAGGAAGGGCACAGAGAATTTTTAGGACTGTGAAACTGCTCTGTGTGATACTGTGATGGTGGATACATGTCATTATATATTTGTTCCAACCCGTGGTTTGCAAAACCGAGAGTAAACCCTAATGTAAACTATAGACTTTGGGTGATAATGACATGTCCATGTAGGCTTATCAGTTAAAAGAAATGTACTGTTCTGGGGGATGTTGATAATGGGGGAGGCTGTGCATGTTTGGGGTCGAGGGCTTTGTGAGAACTTCGATTTTGCTGTGAACTAAAAGTACTCTAGAAAGTAGTCTCTCTCTCTCTTTTTTTTTTTTTTTTTTTTATATTTTTTTTTTTTTACAGGGACACAGTGAGAGAGGGAACATAAGCAGGAGGAGGAGAAGTAGGCTTCTCACCAAACAGTGAGCCTGATGTGGGACTTGATCCCAGGATGCTGGGATCATGACCTGAGCCGAAGGCAGACCTTAACGACTGAGGCAACCAGGCACCCTAATATAGTCTATTTTTAAAATAAACATACCAGGGCACCTGGGTGGCTCAGTGGGTTGAAGCCTCTGCCTTGGGCTTGGGTCATGATCTCAGGGTCCTGGGATCGAGCCCCGAGTCAGGCTCTCTGCTCGGTGGAGAGCCTGCTTCCTCCTCCTCTCTCTCTCTGCCTGCCTCTCTGCCTACTTGTGATCTCTGTCTGTCAAATAAAACAAATAAAATCTTTTAAAAAATAAAATAAACATACCAAGACCCACCTCTAAACAAAAAGTAATATATGCATATATGCTATTGCCTCTGAAAATCTTGCCCCAGGGCATCACTTCTCATGCCTTCTTTCTTTGGATTTCAAATAGAGCCTTGTCAACTCCTAAGGAAAATTGCCTTCTTATTTATAAGTCAAAATGAAAATCCAAGCCTCTCAGGAAAAACTGCACGCCCCTTAGACATTTTAGACTAAGCTATAGTATGCAATGTAAACTCATTTTTGAGTGTGCATAAATTTCTTCTTCTGTAGCTGAGAAGTTGTTAAACGATGGCAGGAACCAATACTTTTTTTTTTTTTTAAGATTTTATTTATTTATTTGACAGACAGAGGTCACAAGTAGGCAGAGAGGCAGGCAGAGAGAGAGAGGGAGAAGCAGGCTCCCCTGCCAAGCAGAGAGCCCGATGTGGGGCTCAATCCCAGGACCCTGAGATCATGACCTGAGCTGAAGGCAGAGGCTCAACCCACTGAGCCACCCAGGTGCCCTGGAACCAATGCTTTTAACTGTTTTCGAAGTTCTCAGGATCTACCATAATAACTGAACTCCTTGCCCTGTGACAAAATGGAAAACGATTGCACAAAAGGGGCCCACGGCCTTTGAATTTGCTTTACTGAAAATTAATTTGTTTGACATACTGATTGATGAGATAATTTTGTGTTAACTTGGCTAGGCTGTGGTGCCCAGTTTGTTCAAATACCAATCTAGATTGGTGAAGTTATTTTTTAGATTTGATTAACATTTAAATCAGTAGACTTAAAAAAAAAAAAAAGATTGATTTTAGAAAGAGCCTGAGTAGAGGGAGGGGCAGAGGGAGAGAGAGACTCTCAAGTGAACTCCCTGCTGAGCACAGAGCCCCACTCGATGCAGGGCTCAGTGCATGTGGCGTTCAATTCCATGACCCTGAGATCATGACCTGAACCTAAATAAGAGTCGGACACCTCACAGACTGAGCCACCAAGGTGCCCCAGCAGTAGACTGAAGAAAGCAGATTACTCTCCAGAATGTGAATGGGCCTCATCCAGTCAGTTGTAGGTCTTTAAGAATAAAGGTGGATGTTTCCTGAAGGTAGAATTTTCAAAATTGCAACACAGAAACCCTGCCAGAGTTTCCAGCCTACTGGCCTGCTCTATAGACTTCAAACTTGTTGGCCCCTCACAATTGTGTGAGCCAGTTTCTTAAAATACGTGTATCTCTCTTTCAAACGTATACATACATACATACATATATATATATGTATATATTTTTTAAAGATTTTATTTATTTGACAGAGTGAGAGATCACAGAGAGGCAGAGAGGCAGGCAGAGAGAGGGGGAAGCAGGCTCCCTGCTGAGCAGAGAGCCTGATATGGGGCTCAATCCCAGGACCCTGACCATGACCTGAGCTGAAGGTAGAGGCTCAACCCACTGAGCCATCCAGGCGTCCCTTTTATATATTTTATGTAGTGTTTGTATGTATATAATGTTATTGGGTCCCCTGCAGAACTTTAATAAAATAGACTCCCTCTTGTGAACAATGGGACCTCCCTCATCACTTCATTCTTTCCTAGCCATCTGACAAAACAAGCCTGAATGAACCCAACCACTAATTTTCTCCATCTTCCAACTGGGCAGCTGAGCACT